ACTGCGTCGCAAATCATTAGATGTTGTTTCTTCAAAATTCCGAGTTCTGTAAAAATTGATTTTTCTGTGTGTGCCATATCACATTGGAGACACATAACTTCATATCATTTATTACAAACTTTTGCATATGCATCAGATTGTCATTGATTCTCTTAAAGCATGCTTTTAAAACACAAATACAGTTTATATACAACATAATTATTTGTAACACCAACAGGGCGGAGTATACTGTAGATATCACAATCAGAATAACGAAAAAATTGTCTTTATACTTTAGTATTTTGTACAAATTTATGCTTAATTGCACAACTCTGATGATATTACCCAATATATCTTTAACGTGGATTAACCTCGACAGTTTTTGATATGATTTCGAGGGTAATTTCAAAGAAACTTCCAATATTGCTTGCAACAAGCGCATTCGCGAATCACTCGGAAAATGCGTGATAGTTATTATAAAACTGATGAGAATATAATATATAACAACATGAATGTTCCTAACTACATCTCCATAATTTATTTTTTATTTAATAATACTGTCAATGAGTGCAAAGTTTATAACACAACAAACGTAAATAACGACGGTTGACAAAATGTAGTACAATTTTCGAAAATTCGAAAGTCGAAGCGTTGAGCTTGTACGGAAATAATACGAGAATGCGATTTCAAATGAAACAGGAATACATTAAGGATTGAAAGTCCGTGGCATTACACAACCACCATTTTTTCCTCATTTTGATATTCTCGATTATCTTTAGCCTTTCGAATCGAACACGATTAGTAAAATGTATAGGAGAACATAACAATTTGTATCAAATGTACGGCATTATTAATCATATGCACTGTAGCATTAAAATAGATGCGATTGCGAAAGCTTTTTTTTCTAAGTGCAATTATTAAGTCGGTCTCTTCATTAAAAGTATATAAACTGATATGTTTTTGCGTTTTATCTCTACTCGATGAATTTGGAACTACGAGCAAATATTGCGTACAGCAAAGAAACAAAACTAAAAGAACCATTTGTTAGTCGTGAAGTAACCATAGCGTTCTTCGGCACTTATCACTCTTGGGATAGATTAATACAAATGATATGTAATTTTTATAATATATGACTCAATAAACTGAAAGACTTATTTCATAATATTTATTGCATAATAGATTAATCCACAACCGAACATGTGATACTGGAAATGTATAAATGACAAACCCTACTATTTGACTCAAAAGTTTTTTTTATTGTGATATTTTTGTTTATTTTTACAGTGTTAACTCACTGTTACAGTACACCCTTCAATCGCCATAGGAAACATTGACACTGCAATATCTATATAAATCATAATTTTTAGATATCACCCATTAAGGTAGTTTTTTAGTAAATCAAGTATCAGAGAAATATTTAATTTTTTTGTATAAATTGAAGTACCGAAATTGTCATGCAAAATTCTACGATAGGTTTACGATAGGTTTTACAATAAAATACAAGAGAAAAAAATGTTGGAAATATTAGTTTTCACGTATAACTTTAGTTTATTTCAACCATAAACAGAAATTTATTTTATTTAAAAAAAATAAAATAAATTAGGTTTTATTCGGGTCAGGTATTCGGTATAGGACACTCAAACTAATTGCTAGATTATCAAAACTTCTTGCAGCATTGCTTATTATACTTGTATTTCTTACATAATTATTTTGATGATCCAACAAAATTATTTTCTGATCTGTACCTGTCAAATTATCAAACATCTAAGTAAAATCATTCTTTCCGTGTAATAATAACGGCTGTCTCCTTCAAGTTTTTCTTAAAGAAAAGTTGATTCTCAATTAAGAAATATCTGTTGCTACAAATTATAAAGTCAGAAGTTTAAAACAATGTCGTATAGCATTGCAAATTAACACGATAATAAGATTCTTAGAGTATAAATGTTACTCCATGTAGTAGTGATTTTATGGCTCGCGAAAACTTTTAAATTCAGAACACGAGAAAAGGGAAGAATCAAAGAATGCGGGGCCAATAGCGAGTATAAAACGAAATGTAGTAGTGCGAACGCGATATATGGACGATTTTTGGCATTGGGCCACGATTTTCAACTAACGAAATAAACTAACGACGAGATACACTATGGGGGTTGGCGACGAGGTAGATCGGTTGGAGATAAATAAATTGCAATGATGGCGCAGTCTCTTTTCTCCGTGTCGTGCTTACGCGTACCGAAATATATCGCTCGGAATTAATAGCGCATCGTGACGGCGCATCGCCGCGAGGGAGATTTAAATCGGACGATATATCGCCTCCTCGCGCCCTCATTGTGCCCGATTCTTGGAGACTGGCGTTTTGCGAAAGCTTCAGCGGGAATACGTCACCTAGTAACATTCTAATAAGAGTCACGAAGCAATATCGTCCAATTTGGCCTAGCTCCTTTATGTCTCTATAAAATTGGTTCTTCTACGTGACATCGATTCCCGATTGTAACTTGCGCAAATAGGTACATTTTACACCAGAGTTTCGAAGAAGCATAAGAATTGTTGTCTTTTTGCCAAAACATGGCAGCATGTGAAAAAATTTGAACACTATGCCGTGATTTTTATGAAAAATTAAGATATTTGTATATTCATTTGAAATTGAATAGCGAGCACGTAGCGACGATATTATAGGAATTCAGATACGAGAGAAGTTTTAGCCCCTGGAGTGAGAGTTAAATCTTCCGATTAGGTCCTTTATGCTAATGTAATTTGGAAAAGAGCGGTGTGGCTTTTCCATTAGCATTTATCGTCCTAATTGCAGATACATTTTAGCTATCAGAAACTCGTAAGTAAATTCACTCATTTCGAAGTTCTCTGAAGAATAAATATAATAATAAGCAGTATAAATACACTGCGATATCATGATTATAAAGTTTAAATAGCATTGAATATAAAATTTAATATATTTCAAATATGTTTTTCAAATAATATATTTAAATGTATTTTTTATTTATTATATAAAACATTATTATGTTTTTATAAAGCAAATAAGAAAATTAATGTAAAACATATTGAAATTTATTAATATCACTTATTAATATCACTTATTAATACTTGAAGCTACAAATTCAATGTTACTTTTTAGAATGTAATTTTATTGAAGCAATTATGTACTACCTAATGGCAATAACTCTCAACGGCATTTTGAAAAGCGAGTGCAAGCTTGTGACGCAGTCGATTTCGAAACTGGTAATCTCTTGAAATCGTTAACTGTTAGTTGCATCAATGTAATCTTTAATGAAAGGGTCGAGATGAGCGAGCCATTGGAAGGATTATGTTCACTACGCGATACGTGATACGTCCCATTCCGTGTCCTCAATTGGCACCGCCTTTGATTTCGCTGCGTCGTCGAAATCAAGATTGGATAATGATACGTGAGATCGCGTATTTTTCACTCGCGTTTACTGTATAGGATATCTCTTGATTTAGTGACCCAATCTAATTTCTCAATTACTACTTTATTTAATCTTTCAAAGATTTCAAATCATATAGATCATAAATTTGCTGACAGAATTTGGTTTTATATAAAGAAACGTGAGAGAAGGGACTATAAATCTGCAATAATATTTAAAAAAAAAAAAATTTTAACCGCTCCCTAAACTTAAAGCGAACGTTTAAAATTTCTGAAAGATAAAGTGATCTAAAATATCGCGTCGACAATATATAATACCTCATACCAAATGCATGAATGCAAGGAATTACTTGTTTCATTCAATTACTTCTACGCTGTTTAATCATACTTTAATTAAACTCTCTCCTCGCACGCTCTGCCCGTGGGAAAGTTTAGAAGTTAATACCCGTAGAGACGGCGATACTTTCATATTAGCACGGCAGTCGGCCGACTTACGAGCGCCAGTATAAAACGAGTTAATTACGTTATGGCAACGATGCGCCGCGCACATCTTCCTGCTTTCTCGTTATTTCTCAACGCGCGAAAACATCCCGCATCCAGACCTCGAATTCTACGCGAGACATTCGTTTCGTGACACTGGGAATCCTTTATTTTTATATACGTTACTTTACTTGTCCCACACCTAATTGCTTTACACTAACTGCTTTATTAATGACTGTTGAGAATGTTCAGCGTACTTTTAAGTATTCGCGTTCCAAATGTTCGCGAACCAATGAACTGCTCCCATTTTGTAATATGCTCTCTAGCTTCTGCTTGCTATATACTTCATTTTTACTTACATACTAACTTCTCTCTGTCTTTTTTTTATGGATGTTACGTTTCTGCCTTTTGTACGCTTTCTGTTACTGTGACCATTTTGTGACACTACTATATTATTATTAATAAAAGCCTTGTGAGATACTAATATACGGATCACTATACGCGATCTTTTGTGTACTGCCTACACCAATGCGACAGACATCCAATTTCCATACTTAATAATGACTCTGTTGGTATTTATAATCTCTGTATACGAACATTGTACATAAACGGTTTGTTGCGGTTACACTGAAAGAAGAGATTGGCTGAAAATGATATATTATTAGCTTATCGAAATCTTATACTGACAATGCGAATAGGCTAACGTAACCAAAAATTGATTGCTGCAACCACAAATTGACTGCTATAGCCAATTAAAAATGCTATGCCATATTTTACCAACTAATTTGCTGCAGCAACCAATCCTTTTCTTTCAGTGTAATCTGACAGTTTGTGTTTGATAAAATCGATAATTAAGTTTAGCAAATCATGCTTTTTAACCCAATTGTTCACATAATAAAACATTCGTCGGTTCGTATATTTTTCAACGACTTTTCTGGACGACTTAACGTCAGGACTCGACACTGCGATAAAGTCATCTTACGAAAATCTTCTTACGCTGCGCTGGCACGAAACAGCGCTAGGCCGGGATTTCCAATTCACGGATTACTCGACACGATGAATTGGCGAACTCGAGTGGGGCCGAGAGATAAGCCGGAGCGTAAACGAGCCTGATTACTTATTCACGACTCCCGTATCTGTGTTTCAGATGATGGCGATGTCGAGGCCGTGGTACACAGGCCGCAGCAGCGGGAATAGATAAGGCAACGAGAGGCCGCGCGCCAAGCCAGTCATGTGCAGTGTCATGTGGCTTCTCCGGCTCCTGACGATCTACCGCTTGGCACACCTCTCGGCATCCGGTACGCAGACAGGTGAGTACCGTAAGAAGAGAAATGGATGCTGTCGTTATGAATTTCGAGCGCGCGTGATAAAATGGCAGGGAAGCGAAGACACAAATATGAATGGATCGCTCCGTAAAATAAACAAGCGTTGCTAATTCCTAAATTATCGTTGCAACCAGATCGACAGTTTGGCGAAATTCAATCGATTTACAGATCACACGCGAATTGTATTTATGACTTGTGCTGTGCGCACTACTGCGATGGCGCGCGTCCAAATATTAACAACACGAATCCTTGCTTGACCTGCCTGTAACACAACGATGCAGAGTGAGTTATGGTAACGCAATGTCGTTCGCCATAAAGATCGTATCGAGAATTTCGAAGCGTTCGACCGACGTTTAGTATGAAAGGTGTGGCACCGACCAGCTGTTCTATGACATTGCTGATCGATTGTAAAACGCTGTAAAAGCGTTCGCGCTATAAATCAATAAGTTATGATGCAGTTAAATAATAATAACAATAATATGTGTCAACATAAATCGTTGAACAATAAATTAGTATTAAAAATATTATTCAATCCTTAAATACCACTCTAACACGAAATATTATAGCAACATTATAGCAATATTGAAAAATATTTTATAAAACATTGCTATCATAAAATATTGCATCGATATTCCTATATCCCTTAAAATAAAATATTACTGCAATATTCTGCAATTGTTGTAATATTTAGAGAAATAATGTAGATATATTGTTGTAATATTTAGAGAAATAATGTAGATATATTGCTACGACGTTATACAATAATTCAGGAGATGAGTGGAATAAAAGCATAATTCTAATTAGTTCTTTTTCCCGGAGCTTTTTAATGTAATATTGATCATAATAGAGAAATAACATGTGACTTCTTAAAAATATTACACAAATTCAGTTGATACTGTATTTGTGTATAAGAAAAAAGTAGTAAATTATTTTTATTTTTATTAAAATCAAGATTTGGTAATTAGATTTTTATTCCGTCCATCCCCTTAATTAATCAATTTTATTGCTATTGATTAACTGTTATTGATTAACATATCACATTCCAAAATATGCACGACAAAATTATGATCCAAAAACATTTGGAGAATTATGACCCAAATTTATGAAAAAAAGCACACCCGAAAGAACTCTCTATGAGATTCGCCAACTTAATTTATACATATATGCCTTCTTAGAATTCCTGTAGTAAGATTTTCTAACATCTTATTGATGATTGTCGCTATCGTTTACTAACGACAGTCAATGAAAACCGCCAGTATCATCCTTGCCATTGGCTATCAGTATATAGTTACAATTGTTGATAAGACAATCGTTGATAAGACGTTAAAAAACTCTCGCTATTGGACGTTTTTTTCTTTGAGAAGCGCATCTATCTCGTGGTGAGACCGCGTATTTACCTCTTGAATTATAATTGAAGCAATATATTGCAATATTTCTTACAAAATATTAAAATTTTAATACTGCTGCAATTTTTATAATATTGCGCACTATTAAAATATTGCTGCAATAATTCATGTTGTACAACAATACATTGTGGTGTAACCATATAAATTATTTTTTAATTGAAAGAACAAATATTAACGACACAATAATAAATATATACATTTTTATTAATAAAAACGTTAGAAAAATAACAATAGAAAAATATTAGGAAAGCATTGGAAAAAAGAAGCCCGGTATGTCATACCGAAAAGATATTTAAGGGTTCAAGAAATCAAGAAATTAAGCTTGAATTATTCTGTTCCCAAGTAGGGAAGGAGAGAGAGAGAGAGAGAGGGAGAGAGAGAGAGAGAGAGAGAGAGAGAGAGAGAGAAAGAAAATATCACTTACCTCAAAAATGACATAATTAAAAGAATTAAATTTTCTAGAAAAAGGAAAAGCTATTTTTTAACATGATAGAAAATTATTGAAAAATCAAATATCAGCAAAAAAAATATTCTTAACATATAAATGCCATTTTTATCATTTTTGTTTCACACCCTTAAAAAAACATTTTTTTTAAGTTGTGATGATTTTAATGATTTTGTAAAATTATCTTTTTTTAAACAATATTAAGAATCTTTATTTTAGACCGTATATGTGAGAAACACAATCAATACTAGAAAAATGCCTATTACGGTCGAAGCTGGATCTTCATTGCTTTAAATAATTCAATCTTGAATTACTAATACACTATATATGTACTTGCATATATTATATTGTAGTCTTTTTAGAACTGCGCGCCGAATTGTTTTTCCGGACTATAAATGCAATTAAAACTATTCTAATAATTGCGAATTAAATTGACATCTTTTTTTTTATTGTAATAACGTTGATGATTTTTTAAAAAGTTAAATTAAAATAGCTACTTCTAACATTTATCTAACTTATAATAATAATTCAAAAATTGCGTTTCTTAATTATGTCACTTTTGAAGTAAGAAAACGATATTATCTTGTAATAGCTGGTGCAATTTTTTTTTAATCTCTTTTATACATGAATATATACAAATGCTATACCCAACTTTAATTTACGATTGTAATACGGTAATAGGATACTCATTAAAAAACGCATGAACAAGGAACTATTACTGTTGTCGTAAATAAAATTTATTCATACGAAGAGGTGACTCTTGTGAATCATAACATATTTTTACAATTTTATACTTTTTTACCCAGATATTTTCATTCCAGTGTTATACTGTGTTATATTATAATTCAAAGTCTAAACATTTCTCGCAAGTAAAACATCCGCCGCGACAATTCTTTTGTCACGGTCCAAATATTACTCGATGGAAGTGGCAGTAAAACCGCGTCGCGTTGCGTCGTGAAGAGCTTTCCACGACATTCCTCCAAGACCATCGCAACTCATGGCATGCGATAAATCATCATCGTACGTTGTGAATGGTCACTGAGACTCGTATCGAATGCGTCAAATATCCGACTAACGTCCATCATCAAGGGATGCTTAGTCGGATCCCATAACTTCATGACTTTAATGACGATAGGGAATGCTTGCTTCGTACGTATTAGCGGCGTGACATTATATTTATTGCTTGCAATCAGACCCAAATAGCCAACCAGATAACCCAATGCACCATCTGAATTATCAATGTCTGAGATATGCACTATTAGATGCTTTTTATTCATACACAGGTATTAACCTTTACAGAACGGGAATGCCATTATAGTGAAACAATGTTATATTTTAAAACAAGAGATACTATAAAGATACTATAAAATGATGAATTATAATAAATCTGACTTAAAGAAAAGCTGTAAGATTTAAAAACTTTTCTTTTAAAGATTATAGTAAACCTTCATAAATAAAATTAAATTACTCGACTCATCTAATATAATTAATTATTGTATTTATTATTAGCTTAAATATATCTTGGAAATGTTATATGTTATAATACATTTCGTATTATAAAATATCATTTTATATGTCATTCCATTATTCGACAAATTCGTAATTTTCTTTTACCTACACATTAAAGATTTCGTTATGGGGTTACATGTGCGTGAAGGGGTGGATGATTGGAGCTCGTATGAAATATACGAGGATCTGAAATATATGTGTCGCACACGAAAGAGCCTATCTCGTGAGACACGAGATGAATCTCCATGAAATTTAGATTACGGACGAATATAAATCCTGAATACGACAGAATGTATAACCAAGAGACGATAATAACTTCCGACTGTGCCCTCTTATTGCCTCGTAATATCACGGCACGATATGTTGTGTGTCGTTTCACATTGTAACTGATTATAGAAGAACCTATCAAATGTTTTATCGATAGATGACAAAGAAAATATCTGAATGCAGTATTTGTTTTAACAAAGAAGTCATTGCATATATACTATTTTTTAAACAAATTAAAAGTTACTTTAATTTATATCTTGTCAAGAGTATTAGACTATAATTCTTAAACAAGAACTAAAATTAATTCTAACTTAACTAAAATCAATTAAACAAAACTAATTCACAGTATAAATTAATCGAGCTCTCAATATTAAAAACAATATTACAAAAACAATAGGTAACTAAAAAAGCTAGTACGCAGTTATTATTAATGTTACAATTCTTCTTTATTCTTTACTTGTACATATTCTTTACATATTTATATTTCTGAAAATATCCAAAATTTTAATGCAATTATTCTGAATGTAAATCTTGACTTGTTAAGAAGAGCCACATGTGAAGAGTTCACATGATCAAATGGAGAATTACTCTGGATTGATTAATTGAGCCTACATTCAGAATAATTAGATTATTAAGCCTAATGTTATACCATGAAGATGGCTGAAAAAAGCAGCCGAAATGTCGGAAATATTGTATATATATATATATATATATGTAGAATAAAGAAGAATAAAGAAGAATTGTAACGTACATTAATAATAACTGTGTACTAGCTCTTAGTTGCCTATTGTTTTTGTAATATTGTTTTTAAAACTAATTCTTTAATAATAATAAGAATAGTTTTAAAAACTAGTACAGAGTTAGAAAAAAAGATACTTTATGAAAATAATTCGTTACCGTTGCTCGTTATTGATTTAGGATTGATTGTTTCATCTTCGGATAAACTATGTGATAATTTATCTACTGAATTAACAAAAGAGTAAAAGAGCATAAAAAAATAAGTGAGCTGAAGTTTACCAAAGGTGGAAAAACCCAGTCTTAAAAAAGTAAGTTGTTACTATTACTCAAAACTAACGAGTTATTATAATTTCCGTTAGCTTTTCACGGAATTTTGATTACTTTTGTTTTAGAGTGGCATTTAATTGAAGGACTTGCTGCAACAATGGGCTAACCTACATTTTATAAAAACAGAAAAAATAAACTGTAAAGTTAAAATTGGTAGGAAAAATACACTTATTTGCGCATTATTACAAGAATTTGTTTATATTGCAGCACATCCAAAAATTTATTACAAGTTGCAGATTGTGAATAAAAAATATTATGAGAAGAATAAAATTTATCTGCATCACAGATGATTA